CTATCCTAAAGATATGGCAGACTCTAAACAAACCCTGATATCTATTCCTCTATTCTAAAGATATGTCCTGGACTCTGAACAAACCCTGATATCTATTCTTCTATCCTAAAGATATGTCCTGTACTCCAAACAAAACCCTGATATCTATTCTTCTATCCTAAAGATATGTCCTGTACTCCAAACAAAACCCTGATATCTATTCCTCTATCCTAAATATATGTCCTGTACTCTAAACAAACCCTGATTTATTTTCCTCTATCCTAAATATATGTCCTGTACTCTAAACAACCCCTGATATCTATTCTTCTATCCTAAAGATATGTCCTGTACTCTAAAGAAACCCTGATATATATTCCTCTATCCTAAAGATATGTCCTGGACTCTAAACAAACCCTGAGCGTGTAAAATTTCGAAGGAAAATAATCTTTTACTGTATCAAACATTAAAGGGTAGATTCTGCATGAATTAATTTAGTTTACGGTAGAGACACCATCATACATTCTTTAAATATTTTAAAAATATATCCCCCTATTTATATTCCTATTGATAAATTGTTACCAATTTTATCATTATTTTTCTCATCAAATAGAATAGTTTAAATTCCATATTGGGAGAATTGATGAAACACGCCACTGCGCACCTCTACACGACTTTAATCTTTTTCAATTATTTTAAATATATTAAAGAAAATTCAGCTTTGATTTAACTACTTCTCAATATCTTACCTCATAAAAAAATCATGTAAATATTTTTTTAAAGATGAGAACGAACGCATGGCATTAAGGCTAAGCAATTGTTTCTTTCCCCAACTGTGTTGTTTAAGCTACCTAAGCTATGTGATGAGGTTTTAATGAGCTCTGAAATACAAGGCCCTGCAGCTATCGGTTAATTTTTATATTTCGAACATTCATCCGGCCAGCCGTCTCTCTCCAATCTTCATTTTTTCCCTCGACAGATATCAATTAGTTAAAAGTATTTACCATTTGTCAAATTATTCTCATAACTAGATTGTTAGTAAAGTAAATTTTTACTTACATATTAGAAACTTTAGGCTCACATTCAAAGAATGAGTCTTCAGAGACGACTGTACGGCATTTACAAAGTTAAAAAGTCTGTAAGGTAATGGTACATGTACTTTTTGTTTGGAAGTTGAAAGCTTTTATCTGAGTTAAAAAACAAAAATAAATTTGGATTAATTTTTGGTTATTGAAGAAGTTAATAGGTTTCAAATTTTCTCGTAACAGAGAGGTTTATTTAAGTTATCTTGAATATCCTAATTAGCTAATCTAAACTTTGCTTTCCTTAAGGAATATCCAATATGATATCCTCAGTGAAATATAACAAAAGGTTGGATACATAAATGTGCTGTAGTCTGTGTCCAATATTTACCAGCAAAAGTTCAGTTAATATTCAGGTTTCAGTTCCTTTCCAGTGTTTAGTTAATATTCAGGGATCAGCTCCTAACCAGGGTTCAATTCCTATCCAGGGTTCAGTTCCTATCCAGGGTTCAGTTCCTAACCAGGGTTCAGTTCCTATCCAGGGTTCAGTTCTTATCCAGAGTTCAGTTCCTATCCAGGGTTCAGTTCCTATCCAGGGTTCAGTTTTTATTAAGACGGAACAGAGGATATCCTAAAACTGTTTATACCAGCTTATCTGATCTACTTCTCAATAATACCCTGCACAGTGCACACTGCACAGTATACAGCTGGTACCCAGATAGAGATATGTTCATTTAATCAGAAAATTGCTGAATTTTTTCGCTTCATCGTTCATTACCCCTAAGGCAATTATCCTGAATATGATGAGAGACATTTTGTTGCTGTGAGACTAATCTTAATATTCAGGCCATGGCACAGGCCAATCCGTGGGAATAAGGCTTTTCACACACACACACACAGGACACACACCACCCTCTATTTATATCACGATTTTTTTGGGTACGTTAATTTTTTTGTATTTCCGTCGGTTTAAAACTAATTTATGATCCTCATATCTTTGCAACCAAACAACGAATTCTAGTAGATCAAATAGTCAAAGTTTCCTTTTTTTCAATTTTTCCCATAATATCATTTTCTTATTGGTTCTTTACAAAGGAATAAAGTCTGTGCCACAAACTCTGAATTTGTAATCCCTATATATTTGCATGTAGAAAATCTTTGATATTTCAAATTATGAGTTCTTTTTGATATTATAGTTTAAGTTTAAAATATCAAAGGGATACCCTATCAGGTTGCAAAGATGTAGGGACTGGAAAATTTTATTTTGTGACAAAAACTCAATTTCTTTACAATTACAAATATTTGAAAATATTTTTTTACTCTTAATCTTACAAATCATAGCTGGACACTTTTTTATTTTCCGTCCCGGCCCTCCTTCCTGAAATTTTCAAAGCAATCATTCATTTCCCACAGTTCACTTATTTCCCCTCAACCCTCAGTTTCCCTCCCTCTGTGTCAACAACTTAATAGGAAAAAATGAATAATTGATTGGACTCTAGCTGAGAGTATAGGATAGGTTGGGACAGGAGCAGCTGGGATATAAACGTAAATTATTTATTTTTATGTTTTGCGGAGCTAATTATTCTTAATTCATCATCCGGCAGGATTAGATCATTTCAGGCAGATATAGATCATAGGACATTCAACTTTTAGTTTTAGAGTTCAAATCCAGTTTCCTTTCAGGGTTCAGTTTCTATCCAGGGTTCAGATTCTTTCCAGGATTCAATTCCTTTGTAGAATTGAGTTCCTTGCAGGGTTCAGTTCCTAATCAGGGTTCCTATCTAGGGTTCAGATCCTATCCAGGATTCAGTTCCTATTTAGGTTCAGTTTCTATCCAAGGTTCAGTTCCTACCTAGGGTTTGGTTCTTATCCAAGGTTCAGTTCCTAACCAGGGTGTAGGTCTTATTCAGGGTTCAGTTCCTAACCAGGGTTCAATTCCTTTTCAGGAATCAGATCCTTTCCAGGGTTTAGATCCTATTCAGGGTTCAGTTCCTAACCAGGGTTCAATTCCTATTCAGGAATCAGATCCTTTCCAGGGTTTAGGTCCTATTCAGGGTTTAATTCCTAACCAGGGTTTAGGTCCTATCCAGGGTTCAGTTCCTATCCAGGGTTCAGTTCCTATTCAGGAATCAGATCCTTTCCAGGGTTTAGGTCCTATTCAGGGTTCAGTTCCTAACCAGGATTTAGGTCCTATCCAGGGTTCAGTTTCTATCCAGGGTTCATTTCCTATCCAGGGTTCAGTTCCTAACCAGGGTTCAATTCCTATTCAGGAATCAGTTCCTTTCCAGGGTTTAGGTCCTATTCAGGGTTCAGTTCCTAACCAGGATTTAGGTCCTATCCAGGGTTCAGTTCCTAACCAGGGTTTAGGTCCTATTCAGGGTTCAGTTCCTATCCAGGGTTCAGTTCCTAACCAGGGTTCAGTTCCTATCCAGGGTTCAGTGCCTAACCAGGGTTTAGGTCCTGTTCAGGGTTCAAAGTTTAAACTAAAGAATGATTTTGAAAAGGTTTGGTTCTAAATATATTAAAGTATCCAGATATATCCATTATCAAGGAGATATGCTGGAAAACAGCGTGAAAACCGTTTTGATAAATTTCAAGCTAAGGTTGAGTTCCAACCAACAATACCGAACTCCCCCCCCCCGCTTCTCCTTGCCCCTCCCTTTTAGGCCTTTCAATGGTTACATACCACCACCCTCCCTTACCACAACTAACCCCCCCCCCCCACACACACACACACAAAGATACATAAAGATACAAGCTACCTTATTTTCCCAGAGTAGAAGATAAAGAGTGTTGAGATGTTATCGGTTTGAGATAATTACAGGTCAGAGCAGGCATTAACCAGACTTTAGACCTTAGATTGGAATTCTTCCATTTTAAACCAAGAAGTTCAATTCTCAAACTGGGACAAAATTAAATGAACAGTCAGAAGTTGTTGAACTACGTAGACTCAGCTGAACCGCTTCTCTGGTCCATGGTTCAAATTACGTATCTCTTTAGCCTCAAGTTTCATATGCTGGTTAGATCTATTCTCATTACTCCTTTCTTATTTAAACACTTATTTCCGTGCTATTTCAGAACCGTTTGTTCTCTAATTACCGTTCTCCGACCTATTTTAAACCCATTCATCCTAAAACTCCTGTCCGGCCCATTTCAGAGTCATTCCTCTTTAACCAAGCTTAGAATCATCTTACCTTACATTCACTTTGATCAACACTTTGATTCGTATCCCCCCCCCCTTCCCCTCTTTCCTTTCTAAATCATCTTCATTCATCCTCTTAGTTCTAAAGCAACAGTTATCCTGTTGGTTTGGGTTTGTTCTATAGCATAGAGATATAAACACTGGTTCTATCTAATTGGACCGGATGTGCCCATTCTGCCTTGCAGCCCTTACTCAGGGGTCATTCTCCTTTACAATTTAATTCATTACCAAGAAAACCTATCATGTTTAAAAGAGCAAATAAATGTAAGTCATCCTGAATAATAATTTAAAAAATAAGAAAGACGACCTTATCAGTTTTGGACCAATTTTTGCGGCAGAGCGGCGTCTGTTTATAATCATCAGTTCTCCACCTTTACCACCACTTAAAACAAAAAGAAGGGCCTGAGGGAGGGTTCAAAAATTTTGAGGGGGAGGGGGAGGGAGGGGGCTGAAACAAAGGTACAATTGAATATTGAGAGTTTATGTCTCCTAGAACCCCCTGGCACCTCAGGAACCTGGTTTGCAAATCTTCATAAAGTAATCAAACCCGGAGCAGGGTTCAACAGGGTCAACATCAACAAAACCAATCCGGGAAACTTTTTTCTCCGGGATAGATGGATAGCTGGGGGATTAAATTGTATATTAGATAGATAGATAGATGTTAATAAATCTTAGAAAAGTGGGTAGACCAGGGTAAATAATTTGATGGTTTAACTAATACCAAAACTATGATCAAAGCACAAAAACTATAATTGTTGCATCATGGAAGATTCAAATAATAATATTTTTTATATTTTCAGACGAAGAAGAATTCTCCGCTCCACATTAAAAGACCGATGAACGCTTTCATGGTGTTCTCCAACTACGAGAGGAAACGTGTACTCAAGGAGCACCCGGAGATACAGAATACAGAACTCTCAAGAGAGTTGGGAAGACGTTGGAACAGACTCTCCGCGGCGGACCGGCAACCGTTCATGGCGGAGTCAGATCGTCTCCGTGTTCTACATAGCAGAGAATATCCTAACTACAAATATAAGCCTGCAAAGAAGAGAAGTAAACCTGTCAAGCAGGATCAGAATTCAGGTTTGCCAGCTCCTAAACTTGAGATTGGAGCTTCATGGGCCAGCTCAGCGTGTAGAATATCTATATCTCAGGGACGGAGAGGAATTCTTAAATCTATCAATACCAACAGACTCCAGCATCGACTCACAATTGACAAGAAATTCAAAGATGCTTTGCGCAGAGCCAACTCAAGTTTAACCAAACCTACTCCGGGTTTTGTTTCTCTAGGACAGAGCAGTGGTGAGTCTTGCTCACTTTCTTCTTCTTCTCCGTTGAAAAAATGCATCATAATTCCTCCTTCTTCCTCCTGGTCTACCATGAGACTAACGCAAAGCGTCCCAACCTCTCCAGACCTTGCTTATCATCAGCCTAACCTGGCACAGACTGTACCCAGCAATTCATGTCCCAACACACCCCTGGCTCCTCCCTCCAATCGTCAACTCACCTCACCTCTGAGTTGGCGTGATCAGGAGGCGACCTCCCTCCCTGATCTATCTCAGATCCTCTCAACCAACCTAGAGACGGATCTCAACCTGGACTGGACGGATGAGCAGGTTGAGAACCTAAACCTGAACCTGAACCTTAACTCTGATGATCTGGAGTTTGCAGACCAATGGTTTAATAAGCAGATATTCTCCAATATTCTTTGATAAATACGTAAAATTAATTTTTCTTCTTCTATCTCTATCCATCAAATAAATCTGCTTGTGTTATCGTAAAGTCTAGTTTTATAATATGCAGTAAATAATATTGGTTTTTAAACCACACCACAGTTAAGACGGTTCTCTTCAATATCATTGTTCTTTTTTCCGAATTAGTGTAATCTTCATTCAACTTCTAAAAGAATTAAAATTTCTCCTATAGTTTTTCAATAGTATTCAAATCACTCTTAGTTTTTCTTGTTCTACTTGTACTATCACTCCTAGCTCTCTAGCACGCCTAGCTCTCTAGTACACCGAAATCTCTAGCTCTCTAGTACTCCTAGCTCTATAGCTCTCTAACACTCCTAGTTCTCTAGCTGTCTAGCACTCCTAGCTCTCTAGCACTCCTAGCTCTCCAGCACTTCTAGCTCTCTAGCACTCCTAGCTCTCTAGCCCTCCTAAAAGCTCTCTAGCCCTCCTAGCTTTCTAGCACTCATAGCTCTATAGCACTCATCGCTCTCTAGCACTCCTAGCTCTCTAGCACTTCTAGCTCTCTAGCACTCCTAGCTCTCTAGCACTCCTAGCTCTCTAGCACTCCTAGCTCTCTAGCACTTCTAGCTCTCTAGCGCTCCTAGCTCTCTGCAACTCCTACCTCTTCAGCACTCCTAGCTCTCTAGCACTCATAGCTCTCTAGCACTCCTAGCTCTCTAGCACTCCTAGCTCTCTAGCACTTTTTCTTGATCTCATAGTTCTCCTAGTTCCCCTAGTTCCCCTAGTTCTCCTACTTAACCAAGTCCTTCTAGTTCTCCTAGTTCCTCTAGTTCCCCTACTTAACCTAGTCCTTCTAGTTCTCCTCCTAGTTCTCCTAGTTCCCCTACTTAACCTAGTCCTTCTAGTTCTCCTAGTGTTCTCCTATTTATCCTAGTCCTTCTAGTTCTCCTATTTATCCTAGTCCTTCTAGTTCTCCTCCTAGTTCTCCTATTTATCCTAGTTCTTCTATTTTTCTAATTTTCTAATTCTGTTTTGAATACTTTCTCTGGTGGTTTGACAACGGACCTCTTTAGAGTAAATAACTTAACCAACTCTTTTGTTTCTCATTCGGAGCTAGTAATTTTCCTCTTGAATTAAACCCCTGTTGGGTTCAGACCCTCAGTTCTCCGTGACACTGGTGCACTTTCAGTATTAAAAATGTATTCGTCTCCTTTGCTTTTTTTTTAAAATATTTTCTTGACTAATACTCTTATGGATTTATAATTATAAATTATTCTTATTTTTATGATTATTTTCAGTCTTTAGTTTGTAGTTTAGATTACAATTATCCAAAGATTTTATAAAATGAATGAATATTGTGAAAATTATTTAAAAAGAATATTATAAGTTATAGAAATGTATGATTTTTCTGTTGACTGGACAAACTCTTAAAATTTTATTCTGATACATAACATAAATTTTCGCCTAAGTTTATCGTAGCTTGAATAATTCATGAAATTTTTTCTTTTAATTAAAACTGTTATGGTTCAATAAACTAAAACCTGAAAATTAAAAAAATTACTTTTTACTTAGAAGTTAAAAAATAAACGATTTTGATAAGCGGGCTCCAGGAAATTGCCATTCTAGTCTTTTTTGGTGGCTTACAACATTTAAAAAAAGGCATGACACGTTCTTTGATAAAATAAAATTACAACTTTTTGAAAAAGAAAACAAAATTTATAACAAAACTTTGTTGGATTCGGAGGCATTTTATGAATTAAAAATTTGTTTTATTCTTTGCACTTTTCTAGTTTAGTTTTTATTTTCTTTTGTTATATATTTTAAATCAACAATAATATAAATATAAACAATAAAAATTGTAAACAATAAACTGATTTAATTGAGAGATAGAGAGTTTATAGAGAGTTTAGAGCCCTTCACGCCCCTGTAAATAGTGAGAACTTTAGTTGTAAATTGTTGCTTTCATGTAAGCATTTTTTCTTCGAATATCAAAAAAAGTTATTTCGTTGATTTTATCACCTTAATTCCAAATATTCTAAAAAATTCGATCTGCAAACCTAGCTTCCATTGGTTCATGAGGTCCTGTAAAAAAAAATGGGCCCGATGGGTTCAGCTTACAGCTATTTAGACGTTTATTGGATACAAACAAACAAAATATCAGACAAACCAAATATATAAATCGATTACTAATTGAAATACAGAAGATTTACTCCTGATCCAGGTATTCATAAATCTGACTAATCGGCTTGTATGTAAGGGTGCATGCATGTATGACAGATATTATTATGTGTTTATTATTATTATTTATTATTATTAATCTATTAAAATAAAATTTGTATATTTACTGCGATACCGATAGTTTAAAAACAAGACATAACTTTTCTGTAAAAATGTAAAAATTTAGTTTATTTCCATCCTCTTTGTGGAAAATGTTGTCTATTTCAAACCCCTTTGTGGAAAATGTTGTCTATTTCAAACCCCTATGTGGAAAATGTTGTCTATTTCAAACCCCTATGTGGAAACTGTTGTCTATTTTAAACCCCCCTATATGAAGAAAATATTAACTTTTTAAAACCCCGTAGTAGAAAATGTTGTCTATTTCAAACCCTATGTAGATAATGTTGTCTATTTCAAACCCCTTAGTAGATAATGTTGTCTATTTCAAACCCTATGTAGATAATGTTGTTTATTTCAAACCCCTATGTAAATAATGTTGTCTATTTTGAACCCTTATGTAGATAATGTTGTCTATTTCAAACCCTTATGTAGATAATGTTGTCTATTTCAAACCCCAATGTAGATAATGTTGTCTATTTCAAACCCCAATGTAGATAATGTTGTCTGTTTCAAACCCCTATGTAGATAATGTTGTCTATTTCAAATCCCAATGTAGATAATGTTGTCTTTTTCAAACCCTATGTAGATAATGTTGTTTATCTCAAACCCCTATATAGATAATGTTTCCTATTTTGAACCCTTATGCAGATAATGTTGTCTATTTCAAACCCCAATGTAGATAATGTTGTCTATTTCAAATCCCTATGTAGATAATGTTGTCTATTTCAAACCCCAATGTAGTTGTTTATCTCAAACCCCTATATAGATAATGTTTCCTATTTTGAACCCTTATGTAGATAATGTTGTCTATTTCAAACCCCAATGTAGATTATGTTGTCTATTTCAAACCCCAATGAAGATAATGTTGTCTATTTCAAACCCCTATGTAGATAATGTTGTCTATTTTAAACCCTATGTAGATAATGTTGTCTATTTCAAACCCCTATTAGATAATGTTGTCTATTTCAAACCCCTATTAGATAATGTTGTCTATTTCAAACCCTATGTAGATAATGTTGTCTATTTCAAACCCCTATGTAGATAAAGTTGTCGATTTCAAACCCCAATGTAGATAATGTTGTCTATTTCAAACCCCAATGTAGATAATGTTCTCTATTTTAAACCCAAATGTAGATGACGTTGTCTATTTCAAAATAAAATGTTGTCTGGGTTGTATTTTGCAAAAACATAATCAAGACAATTCACTCAGTTCTTTTTTCCGCTTTTGTTGTTTATTAGATTCTAGTTTCACAAAACAAGAAGAATATATTTCAGAAATTGTAAAGCCTTGCATGTTTATTGTGAAGCGATGATCGATCATATTTGCAAATTTATTGACATCTCGTGTGTACGCAACAATAAGAAAATATCAACTGCTTGACGCAAATTATATCATTTTCAACGATAAAGACGCAAACAATTGTACTTTATGCAATTGGCATATTTATTTCCGTATCTTCCATACAATTTGTGTTTTTTTGCTGCTGAAAAGAACCGTCATTTCAAGTAACCCTCCATTTAAAGAAGGTCAGGTCCGATTCACATTAATGCCCTTAAAACCTTATCTGATTAATAATGGGAAAATTGTTCAATTTTAGCAGATTCATCTATTGTTTTTCAGCTGTGCCAATTTTACAGAGAAATCAAAAAAAAAACAATAAATCTTCAGTGAGAAAAACATGGATATTTAAATCATTCTTGATTTTTTTTGGTACCGTAATGAATCACATGAAATAACGTCTACAGTCTCTTTAAGCCCTCTTAACTTAGTTGAGGATATTTTATTAGAAATTAAAGCTCTTGGAAGTTTAACCAAACTGTTATGATAGCGCAAAGTTGTAAAAAAAAGCCCATTTAATGTAATTTCTTGTTTTGAGTTCTAATGACCAACCAGCTTCATGGGAAGAAAGTTCCAAACCATGATTTGACTGAGACCTGACTCTGAATGTCAAGTTTAAAACTGAAACATGATTTGAAACTTGCATCCCCTGTACTTCAATGTAAAGCTCATCGTGTTGAATACTTACTCTGAAAATAATCGCAACATTTGTAAAGGGTTGTATGCGGGTTGGTATAGCTTCTAGGATAAGTTTAAGTAAAATTGTTGTTAGATATACAATCACAATTATTTATGATCGATCTTACTTTAGAGCTACTTTGGGAAAAAACGTTGAAGCCTTTTTTTATCATTATTGGGTTGTTGATTTATTTTAATAGTGACGTCAACGCCAAGACTTTATTAGAGAAAAGAATGTATATGCACTAGTTGTTTATCAATTTGGAAGAAGATAAATTTCAGACATTATCTGGACAGTCTTTGCTTATTTTCCTACCTTTCCAACTACAACCAGCTACGTACCTACCTACCTACGAACAGCTACCTAACTACCTACCTACCTACCAACATACCTACGTACAGGTACCTAACTACCTATACCTACCTTCTTACCTACCAACCTAAATTCTTACCTACCAACCTACATTCTTACCTACCAACCTACATTCTTACCTACCAACCTACATTCTTACCTACCTACCTACATTCTTACCTACCTACCTACCTTCTTACCTACTTCCCTACCTACCTACCTACCTACCAACCAACCTGCTTACCTAACTTCTTACCTACTTACCTACCTACCTACCTACCTACCTTCTTACCTACCTACCTACCTTCTTATCTACCTCCCTACCTCCCTACCTCCCTGCCTACCAACCTACCTTCTTACCTACCTACCTACCTTCTTACCTACCTCCCTACCTCCCTACCTACCTACCTACCTTCCTTATACCTACCTACCTACCAACCTATATATCTACCCACCTATCTACCTACCTTTGAACCTACCTACATACCTAACTCTATATGTATCTATCCATCTATCTAAGTATACACGTCTCTATATGTAGTTGCTCAGGAAATACCAGATTTTGATAGAATCTGTATCAATCAATGCACTCATAAATCTAATTGAATAATATAGGATCGATTGCTCAGCTTGGATGAATGGATTAGGTGGATAGATCAAAGGATGGATGGATGACAGGGATGATGGACGAGAATAAATGAATGAATGAGGATGAATTCGCCTATACACACATATGCTGTTGTTATTGTGCAAGGAAAGGAAATTCCAATTGCAATTGAAAAATTGTAAAATTGTAAAATTATAAAATTGTAAAATTATAAAATTACAGCTCTGGATTCTAAGCATACTATGGTTTTAAATATTTATTTTGTTGCATATATAAATTAGAATATAATTATCTAAATGTGAGGTATTTTATACTACTATGCAAAATGTAAAAAGAGTTTACTTTTATTTATCTTTATATCGTATCTTCTATAAAAATAAAGCAGTTATCTATGTTTGTCCGTATGCAAGTCGGATCATAACTTTGGAACCCCTAAACCAATTTGCCTCAAACTTTGATAGAACCGCGGTAATATTCTTAGCTTGGTTTAAAATAAATCTACAATGAGAATCATGAAACTTTGAAATTTGAATAGGAGGACGCCTTTTAGACTCAGACCCTTCCACTTGAAAAAGGAATATTAAAAGTTACAAGCATTACCTTTTTTTTTGCAAAAACATTAAATATACTTAATTATTTCTTTAAGAACGTCTGTCTATTCCACAGTGAACATGATACATATGATATTATTAAACTTAGCAACGTTTACATTTACAAAATGGTAAATGTGTTATTTTTTAATAAAAGAAAAAACATGAAACATTACTTTACGAATAGGTGAAATGCACGAGGCTTTAATATTTTAGGTCTTATGTTATACAATTAATTGTTATTGAATTAACTGTTTTGTTCTGAAGGGGTTTTTAGATTTAAAATTAATCTAATTCATTAAAAGGAAAATGTGTCCGATGAAATTTTTTCTTGTGGTGAAAAAATAAAATTTTACTCATGAGGATTTAATTTCAATTTTATTGTTCAAAACCTTGTTATTCATATTATTAAATAAAAACGCTTGCCTAAAAGCGATAGTAACCGAAAAGGAGATATTTGTTATATCAACAAATAAATTATCGTGAAACTAAAAGATGAAATTCTAAAGAAATGTATTTGTTTGAACAGTGGAAGTAAGAACTAGGTAAAGAATCGCTACTAAGAACTAAAAACTTAAAGCTTTCCAATTTGTTGTGTCCACAAATGTTAAAAAACGATGAGCGATAAAAAATATAAAAAACCAGCTGTCAATCTGATATATAAATACATTATACAAAACTAGATCAATCTGATCTGACTATCTATCTATCTATCTAACCCTGAGCTTCAGATATAATCTCCGAATCTCTCAATCTCTCTCTCTCTCTTCTGTAGTGATCAATTTATCTGATTCAGTTTCCCAGCTTCCTACTCTATCCTACCCCCGGAGAGGGTCACAGGATTCTAATTAAACCATTCAGATAGAATGAATCTTAAACCTGGGGAGTAATTAAACCTATAGTTGCAATCTATTCCACCCATTCATCTATACTCATCTGCATTCTATTCATCCCATTCATCTATACTCATCTGCAACCTATTCTACCCATTCATCTATACACATCTGCATTCTATTCATCCCATTCATCTATACTCATCTGCAATTTATNCAGTACATCACGAACAGTGTCTATATAACTAAAATATGAAAATAATATTTTTAACATTTATTTTTAAAAATTGGTTTTAAAATATATATATATTATATATAGATGGCCAAACAGCTGGACCAAATTAGCTGAAATTTTTAAGGGAACCATGGGTACCCTGGGGGTAACATAGGCTAAAAATCACCATTTTTTTAAGTGTTTCTAAAATTCCATGGGCAACGAAGGACACTACAGCTATTAGTCCATAAGTTTGAAATATCAAAGGTTTACACTATGAGGTTGCAAAGATAAAGGGGTTTGAACATTTTAGGCTGTGGCAAAAACTCTTTCTTCAGAAGAATTTAAGGTGAAAAGGATTAATGAGATATATAATTAACAATTACATTATTAATATAATTTCAAATACAATACACAAAGATAAAGAAGAATCACAAAAATGTAAACAATATAAATTCAAAAGACAATCTATTTATTTCTGAGTAATTTCAGTAGTAGTAATCCCCGACTTCTCTTCAGGACTCATTTTAGACATCTTAGATTCAAGAGCTACTAATCTCTCCTAATAATAACAATTAAACAGTGATAACCAGAAAAAGCTCTAAAATAGGAAGTCGACTTTCAAGCAATACTTAAGTGCATTAGATGTTGTTACAAAGCTAATTGTTTTACTAGACACTTATTAAATCACTAACTAAGTGAAATGGGTGTGCTTACGCTGCACAATTGCTGTTTCCCATGCTTATTAGACTAATTGAAGCCCCAACTTTTGTCTAAAAGTCGTCTTCCTTTTTCAGTTTTCTGGTGATCACTGTAGTAATATCCATGATAATTATATTAACGATAACAATAGTAATACTTTTAATGATAAGAAGAATAAGATTGAAAATTATGCAGTGGGACCAAAACATTTTGAAATATGAAGACGATATTTAAGACTATTTAATGCGGTTATAAAGTTAAAGTCTTAAATAGCGCGAAAATCAGTTGTTTATTTAGTGAAATAACAGTAGTCTTCCTATTCCTGTTTTATGAGTATAAACGAATTAGATATTTAAAAAATTTAACCTCAAGCCATCCTCTCCCTCTCTCCAGTTTAGAAACCTTTTCCCTTAGTTCTTTATTCTCCTAAAACAGATTAAAATATATCAAAATATATAAAATTCTTTAGTTGGAAGACGACATTTGAGACCGACCTGCTCCATGTGAGTTAATCTGTTAACAAGATTCTTGTTCTCTAGCTCCTGAACAAACAATTTAAACGTCAATAATATATTCTTTAGATTTTTTATTACTTTAATATTCTTTTTTAACAATTATAGGTCAGTCTTTTCCCGTTTCTTTTTTTCTGCGAACACTTTTTTTCCATTTTCTTATTAAACTACAAGGTGTCCCACGAAACATGACAATTGGTAAACAGTTTTGAATGTCGTCTTCAATACAATGTATTAGATGTTACAGCCTGATTGCAGTTTATTTCGTTTAAAAAATCTTTTGCTCAAAGTTAATTTTACTATAATATGACTCCTATAAAATATTTTTATTATTGTCTTTGTTATTAAACAGCTTTACAAATTATGGAAGAAGACATTCAAACTATTTACCAACTGTCATGTTTAGTGGGACACCCTTTACCTCTAGAACTTCTAAAGTATCTTCATTCTCCTCTAAATCCTCAAGCACTCCTCCTGCTACTCCTTCTACCCCTTTCCCAACGGTGATTGATTCAAGATCTACACAATTAATACAACAAGACAAATCATTCAGAAGTTTAAAATTTTACTAATTGTAAATTGTTATTTAAAAATTTACTAGTTGTAAATTGTTATTTAAAAATTTACCAGTTGTGAATTGTTTTTTAAAAATTTACTAGTTGTAAATTGTAATTTAAAAATTTACTAGTTAAATTGTTATTTAAAAATTTACTAGTTGTAAATTGTTATTTAAAAATTTACTAGTTGTAAATTATTATTTAAAAATTTACTAGCCGTAAATTGTAATTTAAAATTTACTATTTGTAAATTGTTATTTAAAAATTTCCTAGTTGTAAATTGTTATTTAAAAATTTACTAGTTGTAAATTGTTATTTAAAAATTTACTAGTTGTAAATATTGAAAAAAAAACCATACAGGAGAATTGCACAAAAAAGTTACAATTTTACACCAGGCGCCGCAAATCACACTTTTTTTTTACTCACCCTGTACATACATAGATATATACAGTATCCAGTATACTATCTGTACCTGATATAGTAGGAGTAGATAGTGAAGTATCTAGCCTATAAGCTAGATATATACAGTATCCAGGATACTAGCTGTTCCTGATATAGTAGGAGTAGATAGTGAAGTATCTAGCCTATAAGCTAGATATATACAGTATCCAGGATATTAGCTATTCCTGATATAGTAGGAGTAGATAGTGAAGTATCTTGCCTATAAGCTAGATATATACAGTAGGCAGGATACTATCTGCACCTGATATAGTAGGAGTAGATAGTGAAGTATCTAGCCTATAAGCTAGATATATACAGTATCCAGGATATTAGCTATTCCTGATATAGTAGGAGTAGATAGTGAAGTATCTTGCCTATAAGCTAGATATATACAGTAGGCAGGATACTATCTGCACCTGATATAGTAGGAGTAGATAGTGAAGTATCTAGCCTATAAGCTAGATATATACAGTATCCAGAATACTAGCTGTACCTGATATAGTAGGAGTAGATAGTGAAGTATCTAGCCTATAAGCTAGATATATACAGTAGGCAGGATGCTTTTTCACCTTTCCAAGCTAAAATAAAATCTTAACTTGTTAACTTTTTCTATAATTTACACCTACCAGTACTTAGTACTTACTACTTTTACTTTCCTAACTTTTCCTTTATCTTTCCTAACTAGTCCTTTACCTTTTCTAACTAGTCCTTTAGCTTTCCTAACTAGTCATTTAACTTTTCTAACTAGTCCTTTAACTTTCATAACTAGTCATTTAACTTTTCTAACTAGTTCTTTAACTTTCCTAACTAGTCATTTAACTTTCCTAACTAGTCCTTAGACTTTCCTAACTAGTCATTTAAGTTTCCTAACTTGTCATTTAACTTTCCTAACTAGTCCTTTAACTTTTCTAACTAGTCCTTTAACTTTCCTAACTAGTCCTTTAACTTTCCTAACTAGTCCTTTAACTTTCCTAACTAGTACCTACTTTCCTAGCGTTTCCTTTACCTTTCCTAACTAGTCATTTAACTTTCCTAACTAATCCTTTAACTTTCCTAACTAGCCTTTTACTTTCCTAGATAGTACTTTTACTTTCCTAGCTTTTTCCTTACATTTCCTAACCATTCCTTTGACTTTCCAAAGTAATCTTTTATCTGTTCTAACCATGGTCCTTTGACTCTCCTAATTAGTCATTTACATTTCCAAACTAGTCCTTTACCTTTCCTAATTTGTCCTTTAACTTTCCTAACTAGTCCTTTAACTTTCCTAACTAGTCCTTTAACTTTACTAACTTATCCCTTAACTTACCTAACATTTCCTTGACTATCCAAACTAGTACTTTTATCTCTATTTATTAGTACTGTAATCAAACAAATCCAATTAAAAAAGAAATCTCAACTTAGAAAACGTAGATTAATTTTTAAAGGGTTCAGAGACCAGTCGAATTTGACTTCGCTTTTATTTTCGAAAGTGTAAAGAAAACAAAGTTTAGGGAAACCAGAATAATAATATTTGTTTTAATTAGCCTTTCATTAGAGTAAAAAAATTCGTCAGAATATAAGAATATTTATATACAGATATTGTTAAAAGAATAATATACTTCACCTTAGGGTTGTGTTCATTTGTAAATTTTTCTCTTGATGAATACACTATTCTTGAATCAGTCTGGAATAAAAACATAAAAAAAAAATTTCCACGGGCAATGCCAGGCCATTTCAGCTTGTTATTATTATAATTAAAACTGAATAAGTTTTTTTTTACTATAGTTATCAAAAGGCAAATCTTAATTAATAATTAACAATTGCTTGATTGATTTGTGGAGTAAAAAACAAAAATTATTATCACCTAGAAATCAACAAATGACATTTAACTCAATTATTCAATAATGCAAATTATAGAGCTTGAACCTTGACGGTTTATACAGTTTATACATATTATCGAAAAACAATACAATAGCCAAATATACATGCAGAGAATACAAGAATATATGAGAATTAACCCTGAATGACTTCTTTCACCTATTCTAGACTAAATCTATATTGAGACCCAATTCCAGATGGTGGATTCCAACTTGATAACTGTATTTTTTAATAAATATTTGAATTTTGGGGTCCCGGTCAAGTTTTGAAATATATGAAAGGGCAGAGGAGAAGTCAGTAAGATTACACTTACTTGAAGGTTAGAAATGAAAAAAAAAATTTCTATTTTAAAATATTCTGTCGGAGATTAATTAATAAAACACATTAACCTACATTAGACCTTAAATGTTTCTTGTTTAAAGGGACTGTAGGCATAATTTCAAGGGATTCTCCCTTTAATAACGTTACCCTTTTAAAGGGGACTATATAGATGTAATTTCAATATAGACCCTCCATTTAAACAACAAGAGTGGCATGTCTCAACTACAACGGTAAACCTCTCAACATTTCAATTTTTGACTTTGTAACAACTTTAGCCCCAACTTGATGATGTTATTAATCGTTTTGGATCGTTTAAAAAAAATGTTATAAAGAAACCTGTATTTAGGTAAAGTTTGCTTTATTAAGTTTTATCTTTATTCTAAAATAATAGAAAAACGATCAATAAACGATCTTTACAACACGTTCGTTTTGCATCGTTTTTGGGCCATTTTTGGTCGTTTTTAATATATCTTCTGTCAGGGTCAACATTCTACAAACTTTTACACAGAAAGCCCAATTTGACAAAGCTAGGTTTAAAGGGTAATGATGTGAATCTAACAAACCCTCCAGTTTAAATTACGTGTACACAGTTCCCTTAGAAAGACTGAAAAATAGTAAATCAGAAGAGACTCAAAAATACGCATAAACGTAGTAAAAATTAATGAAAGCACGCTTTTATCTAAATATTCGACATTTACATTATTTAGCGCTCCGACTTTGAAAATTACGAAAACTTGGTAAATTTAATGTTTTCTGTGTTTACCTGGAGATAGTGCAAGGTTAGACTGAACTCTAGAGCAAGACTAAAATCCTCCGGATCCAGAATGGTATTCCCGGAGATGGATTTTGCAACAGAATCCCTAAACATTTTTAAGATTCTGTTTTGCTAAGTCAATGAAGGTTTAATTTTGCTAATTTCTGGTCCCGTACAATACTATCCTCCTTCTCCTCTCCTTTCCTATTCTATTCTATCCTGGTCTATACTATCCGGTCTATCCTATCCTGGTCTATCCTATCCTGGTCTATCCTATCCTGGTCTATCCTATCCTGGTCTATTCTATCCTGGTCTATCCTATCCTATTCTATTATATCCTGGTCTATACTATCCGGTCTATCCTATCCTGGTCTATCCTATCCTGGTCTATCCTATCCTGGTCTATACTATCCGGTCTATCCTATCCTGGTCTATCCTATCCTGGTCTATCCTATCCTGGTCTATCCTATCCTATTCTATCCTATCCTGGTCTATCCTATCCTGGTCAATCCTATCCTGGTCTATCCTATCCTGGTCTATACTATCCGGGTNATTTAAATGCTAATTTTACAAGGGAGAGGGAATTAAACTACAATTCTCTCTCGTTTATTAATTCAAAACTCTGTAATGTTCTCTCCTTTCCGATTCTATCTTGCCCTATCCTGTTCTGTCCTGCACTGCCCTGTCCTGTTATTTCATGTCCTATCCTGGTCTATCCTATCCTGGTCTATCCTTTCTGAAATCAGAATTATTGAAGTTAAACTACTTACGAATAGTACAACTACCTTTTCTGATCTGAGAAGCTTTAAAGTGCACGGTGGTTTAACAAGGGAGAGGGAATTAAACTACAATTCTCTCTCGTTTATTAATTCAAAACTCTGTAATGTTCTCTCCTTTCCGATTCTATCTTGCCCTATCCTGTCCTGTCCTGCACTGCCCTGTCCTGTTATTTTATGTCCTATCCTGTCCTGTCGTTTCCTGTTATTTTCTGTCCTGTTCTGTCTTGTCCTCAGTCCTATCATGTCTTGTCCTTTGTACTGTGATGCCTTGTCCTCTGTCCTGTCCTGTCTTGTCCTGTTCTGCCTGCGATATTCTCTTGATAGTTTTTTCAAACCTTGTAATAGCAGCAAGTACTACTAAACCATCGTATCCGCCCCTAATCAACATTTCTCATATCAAAATAATTGTTAGTGAAAATTTTTAAAATAAGTAACATAGATTTCTTAAATTAATAAAACTTATCTTTCTAATGCAAAGATGACTTTAGTGTTATTTGTATCTTTAATTGAGAACTTTTCCAGCTCGCACCAAATACAGGGTGTCCCACTAAACATGACAATAGCAAGGCGACTTTGATGTCGTCTTTGACAGTTGAAATAATTTACGGCATTTATTCGTAAACCAAATTTTAGAAGTTAAATTCTAGAGTTAATAGTCACTAAATACACCTAGTCCATTTCCAAATTATGGTCTGCCTTTTTTGTGCTCTCAATTTTACCACCTACCGGAGATATGATTAATTTTGTTCCGATTTTAACCATTTTTTAAATTTTTTAAATTCAAATCCGAGCGAAATTCTCAGTATTTCCGGTAATATTGTCAGAACCAAAAAAGGCAGACTGCATTTTGGAAATCCCAGGAATAGGAGAATTTTCAAAGACGACTTTCAAATCGTCAATTGCTAATGTCATGTTCGTGAGACACCCTGTATAATGAAATAGTTTAAAGAAGTTTATGTTTATCAGAGTAATGTTCCTGACAGGTCCATGCTTGCAGAGACAGTCCTTGCACCCTCCACACAGTTTATCTGCACAACAAATCTGAAATAAAATGTCGTCTTTCTTAAGCCTCAGTAAGTGTAATTTCAAGTGACCCTCTATGCAGCGAGGACAATTCCCGATTTACAACGGTACTCTTGAACTTTTGCCTGTCCAACGAGTAGAGAGAGCTATGTTAAATATATGTTGAATCGTTCTAAGATTCGGTGAACGCTGTGAACAGTGTCAACTCAACACAGCTGATCCGTTGCTAGCGTCCCTCAAAAATATCGTCTTTTTTACGTTAAAAGCGGGGTTCAAACATTCAAAAGTAAATTTTTACTATGACATCCTGATCCAGTCAAATGTTTAAAGGGTTCTGTTGTGAATCGGGATGCCCCTCTTTAAATGGAAGTTCACTTGAAATAACGCATACAGTCCCTTTAATAAATCTTAATCCAACCTTGCAGCATGATTTCCTGAGTCCTCTAGGTCCAGCCCAGTGGTTGCTTATCCCTTCTTTTCTCCAGGTCAAAGGTTCCATTCGCTCTAATCTCCTAAACATCATTCTTCAGTCTCAGTTCCTCAAAATCGTTTCTTTGAAGACACAATTGATTAAACATGACATCTGAAAGACATAAAAGAAAAGAAAATAAAACAAAAAACATGACGTGAATTGATTTTAATGTTTAACTTTAACTTTGGTATTGAAATGGTTAAAACACTAAGGAAGGTGAACTGTCACAGGAAAGATGATCTGTTGCAGGAGAGATAAACTGTCGCAGGAGAGATAAACTGTCGCAGGAGAGATGATATGTCGCAGGAGAGATGATCTGTTGGAGGAGAGATAAACTGTCGCAGGAGAGATGATCTGTCGCAGGAGAGATGATCTGTCACAGGAGAGATGATATGTCGCAGGAGAGATAAACTGTCGCAGGGGAGATGATCTGTTACAGGAGAGATAAACTGTTGCAGGGGAGTTGATGTGTCGCAGGGGAGATAAACTGTCGCAGGAGAGATAAACTGTCGCAGGGGAGATAAACTGTCGCAGGGGAGTTGAACTGTCGCAGGAGAGATAAACTGTCGCAGGGGAGTTGATCTGTCACAGGAGAGTTAAACTGTCGCAGGGGAGATAAACTGTCGCAGGAGAGACAAACTGTCGCAGGAGAGATGATATGTCGCAGGGGAGATAAACGTTCGCATGAAAGATGAGCTGATGCAAGATACCGGGTTTATATATTTGCAGTTCAGAAACAGAACTGGATACCTACGGCAATCCTACTGAGGGGACATGTATCAATAAAAAGTCAACCACACTGTCTTTAAAATGGCGCTAAAACAGCGATTTGTTTTTATTCTTTCAAAGTTTCGATCTTCGTTGCAAAAAATACCTGTAGTTTGGATTCAGTTGTAGATAAGCTGAACCAAAACAAAACTGATCCATCTCTCGTCCGGATCTGAACAAAATGTCAAACATTCAGTGTTCAATTCATTTCTAACAAACAAATTACTTGATTACTTTAGCCAAGCAATTAATAAAGTTGTAGAAATCATTTAAATCAATACTAGAAGACAAAAAATAAATTATTCAATAAAGCCTTAAACACTAATTTTAAACAATACAAGTAAACAATAGACAATACAATTTGGGTATTTTAAGATTATTTTATGATTTTTCTAAAAAATCTACCTTTGTATAAGCTGTTCTATTATTCTATTAGTGTGTCCAACCAGTACATCACGAACAGTGTCTATATAACTAAAATATGAAAATAATATTTTTAACATTTATTTTTAAAAATTGGTTTTAAAATTTTTTTTTAAAAATTGTTTAAATCATCAGATGATAACAGCTGCTGGTTGTTTGCAATATCTGTATTTCCAAGGTCTCAATTCTCTTGTTCTTGTTTGAGTATCATCAATTTAAATGCTAATTTTAAAAAAGAAAGAAAAGAATTTTTTGTGACATCCCTGCAAAACGCAGTATGTATTCTTGCAAGCTCAGATCCATTCTTTAATGACCTTGCTTTCTTTTTCTAGAATCTGCTAAACATACATAATTTTCTCATACAACTTATCTATTTCAGGCAGAGGGGGAGGGGGGGGGCCACCCTGTATGTATAAAATGCCTTTTTTTTGACGACGAAATGTGCACCCTTCAGAAGGTGGGCGGTGAGGATAGTAAAAGTCGGAGAGTGTTTTGAATGCCAAAAACAAGCTTAAAACATGTGATTTAATGGGAATCGATACCCATATTGTATACCATGC